AGCTAAATGCTTTAAAGAAAAGTGTTCATGAGGCCCCAAACAACCTCAGATACTTTACAGCTGTTCGAAAGGAGAAAAATTTAAAATGTAGATAGATATGAGCGACAGCTATTTCCTAGTAGTTGAAGTGTATGCCGAAAGCGTGGAGTCCTGCAACTGAGCCCCTTAATTGTTCCATTACATGGTTTTAACCTTGACTTTGCTAAATAGTATCTTTAAGCAGGACAGTGAATTACTGTGGTCATTAGGTTGGTGTCATTTGTCACCCTTGATGGCGGCTTGGCTCCTGAATACAGAAGGCTGTCGGGTCACTATATAGTTGTCAGTGATCCAGACCAAATTTACATGCGTGTTTTAGTCAAATGTCAAACCCAGAACGGTCCTGAGCATATATAGCAGGAGGGTCAAAGAGTGGGCCAGCTTACCCAGTAAACATGTGTCTGGTCTGAAGACCAGCTAGGAAAGGAAGTCACTGTGTAAGAGTAGAAAAAGACAACAACACTGAGAAGGGAGACAAATTCTAGTACACTAGAAGATAACAGGGAAGAGAAATGTGTGGAGAGATAGCTAGGATTCTAACAGGGACAGAGATTTGGAAAACAGTCCACTTCCGTGAGCCATGCAATGAAGCAGAGGCAGATAGACCATACTCTTTCAACCTGGGACTTCTCGGCTATGGCCGTGGCATCGTCAGCAGATGTGACCCTCATTGGTGCCAGAGTGTTATCTGAAATATGGGCCACAGCACAGGCTGCACTTGTTCAGCCAAATAACCTGCAGGAGGGACTTGACTGGATGGCTGTGGTACAGCAGCTGCTTGCCCAGACTGGCTGCCTCCTTTTCTATCCCTTCATCCTGAAACAAGGTTGTTAACTTCCTTTCAGATCTGACGGATCTGATGAGGTCCATTCCATACTGTGAAGGGAATTTCTAGAAGTTTCTGATTGTTGATAAACAAAATTTCTTTCTCTCATTTTAGTTGCTCATGTTTGAAGACCTTGGAACTAGAGCTTAATGCCAATGTTATTTATTTATTCACTTATTCATTCATTTATATATTTAATCATTCATTTATTTACTAGAGATTAAATCCAGGGCCTTGTACATCCTGGACCCAGGCTGGAGTGATGGTTCAACTAAGAGTGTGTCTTGCTCTTGCAAAAGACCTGAGTTCAATTCCCAGCATCTATGGTGGGTGGCTGACAACTATTTGAAAATTCAGCTCTGGGGAGGGGATCCGGCGCTCAGGCCTCTAGAGGCACTGTACTCACAGACACAACAAAGACAGACAGGAACACACATAATTTTTAAAAAAAGATTTATTTATTTATTACATATACAGTGTTCTGCCTATACACCAGAAGAGGACACCGGATTGAATTGTAGATGGTTGTGAGCCACCATGTGGTTGCTGGGAATTGAACTCAGGACCCCTGGGAGAGCAGTCAGTGCTCTTAACCTCTGAGCCATCTCTCCAGCCCCGGAACACACATAATTTAAAGAATAAATAAACATATAACTTCAAAATATTTTTGGTAGCCCCTTATTGTTTGTTCTGAAAAAGCAAGTGTCGGTTCAAATGGCATTGATGATGATGGCTAGTGGAAGCAATACTGCAGTTGGACTGTCCTATGAAATGATATCACAGTAGCACATATATGTGTTTATTATATCCCAGGCACTGTCCAAAGTACCTTTATATACATTGACTCATTTAAATGTAATACGTAGCCACTGTAAGATATATATATTATGAATACCTTTATCTTGTAGTTAAAGAAACAAGTGCAGACAGCTATAACATGTCTGTGGTCATTCAGGAAGAACTAGGATTCAAAACCAGGATGTCTCAGCCTAGAGTGATGGAACATGTCTTTAGTCCTAGCAGGTGGATCTCTGAGTTTGAGGTCAACTTGGTCTATATAGCAAGTTCTAGGACAGCCAGGGCTATATAAAGAGAGAGCACCTGTCTCACAACCACCCATAGCATGAATTCTAATTGGTCTTAGTAATAAAAACCCAGAGTCAGATATAGGGGTAAATGCTGAAAGACAAAGGAACAAGCCACAGCCACACCTCACCTTGAGAACTCCTCAGCCAAAAGAGACTGAGCTGCTGTCTCCTCCCACCTTATATTACTCTCTCTGCCCAGCCATCTCGCTTCCTGTCTGTCCTTACAGACCTCCAGACCTCTATAGTTAACTAGTGGCTAGCTCCACCCTCTGCTATTTGGGCAAGCTTTATTTGTTAAGAGTACAAACAAGATATCAACCACACACCCCCACTCCCCCCACCCCTGAAACAACAACGACAAATCAAAATAAAAAACCTAGGAGTCTATGATTCTTTTTTGGGGGGGCATGTTTTCAAACAGGATTTCTCTGTGGTTTTGGAGACTGTCCTGGAACTAACTCTTGTATATCAGGCTGGTCTCGAACTCACAGAGATCTGCCTGCCTCTGCCTCCCAAATGCTGGGATTAAAGGCTTGCACCACCATTGCCCGGCAAATCTATGATTCTTTTTTGTTGTTTTTTTTTCAAGACAGGTTTCTCTGCGTAGCCCTGGCTGTCTTAGAACTCACTCTATAGATCAAGCTGGTCTCAAACTCAGAGACCTACCTGCCTCTGCCTCTGGAGTGCTGGGATTAAAGGCATGAGCCACTAAGCCTGATCCCCCTGCTTCTTGTAACACCTGGTACAAAGCACTGTTTCATGATTCATTCGTTTCTTAATTCACTTACTCAACCAACCACTGAACTGTAACATGAATGTTTCTGGCCCTGCAGGTCCCACAGCCGTTGAGCCACAAATGAACACACTGACACTATATCAATTACGAACTGTTGGCTGGTGGCTTGGGCTTCTTATTGGCTAGCTCTGTCTTAATTACTAACCTATAACTACTAATCTATGTATTTCTACATGGTCTTACCGGGAAACGCCTGACTGGCGTCCTCTCTTTCCAGGCTCACATGTTTTCTCAGCTCTGCCTATACTTCCCAGAATTCTCCTCTTCTCCTAGTTTCACCTATCTTCCTGCCTTATTGGCCAACAGTGTTTTATTCATTAACCAATAAGAGAAACATATACACAGAAGGACAGCCCCTGTCACTTAACCAACAAGCCAACCAGCAAACCAGCTAATCAAGGAGCCAATCAGCAAACCACCCACCCAGCCAGCCAAGCAATGTATGTATGTGGTCTGTGTTGCAATCTATAGCAGCTACTCTGCAAGACAGGAGCTAGAGTAGGGATTAGAAGAAAGAGGTGGTGTCCTCATGCAACTTACAGATAACTGAAGGAAGTAGGCACCAGTGAAATACAAACATAGCTAATTATAACACTGCAATGTAAGACAGAGGTAGCAGGTACTGGAAGAGAGCTCACAGGAAGGAATTTAACTTAGCAAGAGTCCTTGAGAAAATACTGAGTTGGATCTGAAAGTTGAAGTTCACCACCAAATGCCAGCTGAGCCGGTTTTTCCAAGTTCCTGGGACAGGGAACTCAGTGCTGGGGAACTCAGAGGTCACTGAGGTCAGCGAGAGCCTAGTGCTAGGGGAGGCCAAGCTGCATAGGCAGACCCGTGCGGGCTGCAGAAGGTGGTTCCGGGTTTATCTCAAGGCCAGCAGGGAGAGGCCACCATTTGTCTCCTCCGGGGTCCCTCCTCTTGCTACAATGGAGAGGATGGGTTTGAGATGGTCTGGTCTGAGGCGCATGTGGGTTGCGAGGCTTGTGGCCACTTGCAGGGCTCAGGTACAATACTACATGATAAAGCTCAAGCCAGAGTCCGGCCGCGGACGGGGTTGGTGCTGGTGGTGCTGGTGTGGAAGGATCCAAAGGATTGTTGGAAGGCCAAAGTGGCAAAGCATGGATGGATAAAAGAGAGGGCAGTTGCTTCACAGCCCTTGAGCTTCAGGAGCTTAATGAAGGTGCTGTCTGCAGTGATGAGGACCTGGATCAGACCAGGGTGGGCCTGCCCTGGACAGGTTGCATTTGGAGTTGACAGTGCAGTTTTAATGTTGCAAAGAATAAAGCCAAAATGTAAATCTCTTCACCTGGACTTTGACCAGAATTGAAAAGTAACAAGAGTAAGAGCAGGCATGCGCAGTACCCACTGTCCTCTCGAGAAACTGGGTTTTACAGGAGGGCGCTCACTTATTCCTCATCCACTATTGCTTTATGTCTGGGAACAAGTGCACTTAAAGCCACTGCTTGGAACATCAGCTTTACTAAAGAGAGGAGCGCTCTACCATCAGAGTAATTGTTTCGACGCCGTCTCCACGTAGACTGACTTGTGTAAGCCGTCATTAATTCTTTGTATAATTAATGCATAAAGTGCAGAGTTTCTATTAATGGAAAAGCAAACTCAAGCGTCACGCTGGTAATATCAATAACATGCATTTGTAGTTACATACTTTAGATGACTGTGGAAGCTACATTTTATTACATTAATAAAACGTAAAACCTCCTGAAGCAACCCAGAAGCGAGCGACAGTGATTCGGTTAGAGCTCACTGCTTCACCTATCTGCCAGGGGTCTGCAGGCACTGTTAGCTGGAAGGGACACTCGCAGCGTACAAGGGAATCTTTGTCCCCCACAAAAGGAGGCTATTTAAGTTTCTCTTTTTAATAATAGTATAAATTCACTGTACAAATTAATGGGTTGCTTTGTGACATTTTCATTTGTGTATCATGTTCTCTGATTATATTTCATCTCCACCAATTTTGTTTTGGTTTTGGTTTTTCTTTTTTTCTTTTTTTCTTTTTTCTTCCAGACAAGGTTTCTCTGTGGCTTTGGAGGCTGTCCTGGAACTAGCTCTTATAGACCAGGCTGGCCTCGAACTCACAGAGATCCGCCTGCGTCTGCCTCCCAAGTGCTGGGATTAAAGGCGTGCGCCACCAACACCCGGAGGTTTTGGTTTTTCTAAACAGGGTTTCTCAGTGTATCCTGGAACTCACTCTGTAGGCTAGACGTGGCCTTGAACTCACAGAGATCTGCCTTCCTCTGTCTGTCTTCCGAGGCTGGGATTAAAGGCGTGTGCTAGCACCTGCAGTTTCATCACCCACTCTTAATCCTCCTCCCACCTCTGCCTGGTTCTGCTCTTTCTCCAGTCCTGCTCGCATGCATGTACTTGGGTGTGTGCATATAAATACACGGAGTGAGATAGAATTTCAATGCAAGATTTTTAAAAATCTTGAAAAATTGCATGATTTGTATAGATAGTCTAGATTTTTGTATGTGAGAAAAACAGGTGGAACATATCATTGGGAATTTACTTTCTGTCAGCTAACATGATGGTCTCTGCCCCCATGCATTTTCCTGAAAATGAATAAAACCCCACTGTGTACGTGCCTTGTGCCCTTCATCTGCTCGTTTGTGATGGGCACCTGGGTAATTGTGTAGCTAAGCTACTGTGAATAGTGTTTCCGTAAACATTGGGGTCAGCTACTCTGTGCTGTGTGACTTTGATTTCTTTATACGCTTATAAAGTATAGGCTCCCGGATCATGTTCCATTTTTCTTCCTTTTATCACGGGATGTTCATATTGGCTTTCAGAGTGGCTATGCCAAGCTACAGTCTCACCACAACTGTGTGCGTGTTCTTTCTTTATCTTTTTTTTTTTTTTTTTGGTTTTTCAAGACAGGGTTTCTCTGTGGCTTTGGCTTTGGCTTTGGAGGTTGTCCTGGAATTAGCTCTTGAAGACCAGGCTGGTCTCGAACTCACAGAGATCCGCCTGCTTCTGCCTCCCGAGTGCTGGGATTAAAGGCATGTGCCACCAACACCTGGCTGCATATGTGCTCTTCTTTCCTGGCTATTGTGGTTTACTTTCTTGATGGCGTGAGGTAGAATCTCAACTTTCTTTTTTCCCCTTTTAGACGGGGTCTTGCTGTGTAGCCCTGGCTGCTTGGAACCCATTCTACAGCCCAGGTAGGCCTTGACCAGGAGACCATTCTGCCTTTGTTGGCTGAGTAGTTGATTACACATCTGTAACACTAACTCGTACCATGATTTATTGGCTGAAATTTTTGTGTGTTTATTTTTCTTTACATATTCTACATATCAATCCCTCACCCAATAAATAGCTGGCAGCATTTTTTTCTCCCATTTTGTAGCTTGTCTCCTCAATCTGGTTACTGTTTCCATTGATATGCATAAACATTTTAATTTTGTGTAATCCTATTTGCCAATTGTTTTTATTACCTTTGGGAAGTCATATTCAGAAAGTCCATTATTATTCCTAATGGTACATCCTTTCCATGGTGAACTATTGCATAGTGATGGAATAGCATGCTATTATGAATGAGAGTCGTTATAGCAAGAGTAAAGATAATAACCCAACTAAAGACAAAAAGGCATTTATCCAGACAGAGAGACCAGCTACTATTACTGTATATTCCTTCTGAAGCATACATTGGATATTAGGGGACTCACAGGAGAGTCCTAACTTATTTAAAGATTTATTTTTACTTTCCTTTATGTGTAAGTGTTTGCATATATGTATGTGCACCCTGTGTGAGAGCCAGGTGACCATGGAAGCAAAACCAGGCTTAGATCCTGTGGAACTGAGTTAGAGGCGGTTGTGAGTCACCTAACATGGGCACTAGGAGCTGAATCAGGGTCCTCTGGAAGAGCAGCGGGTGCTCTTAACTGCTGAACCATCCCTCCAGTCCAATGGAGTGTTAATTTCATGAAGACGTGAGACTTGTGTAGGGTTGCAAGTGCTGCTCTAAGTTAATATCTTGGTCATGTTGACCCCTTGAAAGGACAAGTGTGTGGGATGGTCTATCCAAGCTCCTTTAGGTGCCTGTCACTCACTCTGAAGGAGGAAGCCAGGAAGGCTATCTTGGGTAGTCCTTAGATGCTCTGAGGATTGTGAGCAAGTCTCTCTTCCTAGACAGGACATGGGCGAAATAGCTTTGTTCTGGGCATGGAGTAGGAAGTCTCTAAATATGGAGATCCCTGGAGTGAATTAAAAATATCTTAGCATCTGGGGGCGTGGCTCGGTGGTGCAATGCTTGCCCAACACTTACAAGGAAGGCCCTGGGTTTGATCCCAGCACTGGAGAAAACGATGCTAGAGGCAAGTGTGTAACCGTCTCTGTCTAAAGTCCCAGAAACACAGAAGGCCCAGGTGACTGGTCCCTGTGCACTTGCTCCTGTCTGTGGTGGTCCAACAGCCAGTGTAGGGTGTCAAAAGCATCCTGTTTCTGATGGGACACCACCCAGAAGGCCCACAGAGTCATCCCCATTCCATTATCCTAGAATGCAACTGTTTGTGGCCATGGGACAAGGTTAAAATGTTTTGTTTTGTTTCTTTCAGTAGTAAACTACCAGGTTTGAAACAAACAAAAAATCATTTATTGTAAAAAAAGAAAAAAAATTCCCAGAATAATCTTGCATTCAAATTATTGTCCCAGAATGTCTGATTACTTTTATTTGTGCTTTTTTTTTGCCACAGCACCAAAAATGAGGTTGCTTTTCTTAGGTATACGATGGACTTTGGACTGTCCAAATTTGTCTACAAAAATACCTTGCTCTTGTAGAAGCCCTGAGTTTGATTCCCAGCACCCCCATATCACCTGACCACTGTCCATAGCTCCAGTTCTAGAGGGATCCACTATCCTTTCCTGACCTCTGAGAGCACCAGGCATGCCTTTGGTGCACAGACATTCATGTGAGCAAAGCACTAACAGACAGAAACTAAATTAAATAAAGCTTTAAAAAGATTTTGCTAAAAATCTATATTGTACGTGTTTTTAATTTTTTCTGAGGACAGGTTCAGGCTTTTGTAATATCCTTGAAATGGCCTGTGAACTCCCTCCCCAGAATCTGAGAAGCGTTTATGGACCAGAATATAAGTAGGCTATGAATACAAATGGAGCGCTTTCTTCCCCGTGTATTTCCTCATATGGCCAACAGGTGGCAGCATAGACATCAGCCTTCAACTCCCCCCTCACCTCCTACCCCGCACCCCTCTTTTCCTGACCTCGAATAAATTTACCCCATAAAATGTAATGTTAGGTTCCTATCATCAACATAACTGTGGCTTGGATAGACTGTGGACAAAGCGTCTCATCAAACTGCCCCCCAAATCTCCGTGGAAGAGTAAAGTGAGATTAGACAGCAGTCACGAATGTGGAGAGACAGTATTTGATATGCTTTCGTTAGTGAGAGAAAAAACACCCAGCTGGCTGGATCAAAGGCCCCCATAGCCTGGAGGACCGAATAGAATCTCCGGAGCTGCGGTTAGCACCTTACTACGGAGCATCACGGTTGAAACAGAACCCGTAGTGAATGGTTGCAAGAACTTTCGTATTCACAACAGCAAAACCATTTCTTGGAACCAACAGCCAAAAGAGCTCATTCACTTCTTTGGTTCCCCAGACACGGAGTAGAACAGAAAAAGAGGAAGTTGCCTTGCACTTGTGCCTCTGAGAATTTTTAATTTTGACAATTAAGTATCACTTTCCGTCCGCTTCTGTGAACTCACAAGGACCCCGGAGGTGGATATCTGTTATGAATTCTTAACCTTGCATACACTGGGCATTTCCTTCTCTCTTCCAACTTAACTAGCTAGTTCAAATATCAGTATTTTAGGCAGAAGATCCTGGATCGTTAATATGGCTAATGACATCGATGCATCTCAGGGTCAACTCATTTGTTTACTGGTATATAGTTAGTGGTGCCCGTAATTCTCAGAGATAGAATTAAGCTTTTGTTTAAGTTTAAACGAGTCCAAGGTCAAATCCCAACAGGACGAGCAGTTGGTGGGTTTGATGAGGTACATTATGGTTTTCACTTCCTTTCCTTTGAAAAGTTGCTATAAAATCCTGTGATTAGGAACAAGGAGCAGATAGATGGACGCTCACTGTGGCAGGCTGTCCCTGTGTGGGAGAAGATGATGGATAGAGAGGGCCTGGTGACAGTTGACAAATGTCACCAGAAGGGATGCAAATGTCGTGGGCAGAATGGGATTTGAAAACTGTTTGCCAGCCTGCTTGGGTTCATTTTTCACAGTCCGGTTCAAACTGCGAGGCTCCCTTGAAATGTAAAATAACCTCCAGGCAAAAACCAGAGCCGGGAATTTGCATTCTGAGTTCAGCTTCTCTGGGGATAATAATTACTGTTAGAAGGACCTCGGTGGATCAATCAGCCACCAATCAATTAGTATTTATGGAAATGCGGTTTTTGTCTAGTCTTCTATTAAATGTCGTGAGCAACAGGAGACAAATTGCATCCTAATCCCCCTGGTTGTGTGCCTGTTGTCTGCGGAGCCTCGCTGTGGGGGGGCGGGGGGGGAGAAAGGGAGCCACAGGGCGCCTCTGGAGGCAGAGGGTCAAAGGCCATCGTCTGAAGAGTATTTATTTATTTATTTATTTATTTACTTGTGAAGCACTGGGCGTTGAACCTAGGACTTTAGACACACTAGGCAAGCGCTCTACCGCTGAGCTACATCTGCAGTCCTCTTTTTCCTTTTTATAAAATTCCCCAGGCTGGCCTTGAACTTGGCAGTCCTCCAGTCTCAGCTTCCACCAGACCTCACCGGTTAGAAGGTGTTTTAAGGGAGCCTTGTGACTCAGTTGCACTCACCCCAAGCCCCTACACCCAGTCTCTTCCTTTCAGTCCTGGAGCTCGACACAGGGTTCCTTATAAAATGCTTTTATTGGATAACAGTTCCTGTCAGAAAGCTGCTATTTTGTTCTCAGGGGTGAGGGTGTGTGTGTGTGTGTGTGTGTGTGTGTGTGTGTGTGTGTGTGTGTGTGTGTTTTCCTGTGAGCTCTGACACAGAAGGGCCTGACAGGTCTGGTCCGGGTGGGTGGCCTTTTCTCTTGACCGCTTCGTGGTCTACATCTCAGGGACCATTTTAAAGGCTCCAGGTGTGTGAGGGGAAAGGAGAGATTGACTCTCTGAGAGTGGAATGCACCACACTTTGGGTTTAGTTTTTCCATGAAAAAAAAATGGTTGTTTTGGGAACGTTTCTTATTCCAGATTCTTACATGTTGGCCCCATGTATGGTTACTTAAGGCAAAAAAGCAAAACAAAACAAAAAAACAACTCCCCAACTCAGACACCCCCCTACCCCTGCAATTAAGGTCGGTGTCTTGGTAGGTGTGGTACAGGCCTGTGATCCCAACACTTCGAAGGCTGAGGAAGGTGAATTGTCTCTGAGTTTGAGGCCAGCCTGGGTGACATAGTCAACTCCAGGACAACCTTACCCACCAACTTCCTTCAAATTTCATTTAGACTGCATTTTGTTATCCTGGATTAAATTTTTAAGACAGTCTCATGAAGCCCAGGCTGGCGAACTCCTGATCTTCCGGCCTCTGCGACCCGAGTGCTCGGGTCACAGGAGCGCACACCACTGCTGCCGCATCTCAGTTGGTTGCGTGGGCGCCTTTATCAGGTGCAACTATTACTATGCCTGCTAGATGGCCCAGTCACTGCCTTCCCACAGTGTAGTCCTGGAAATTCCAGCTCCACAGCATAGTAATAGGGTTCCCCGTGGAAATGAATGTGTTTTGGACTAGGGCAACTTTCACAGGTGTCTGTTGTTTTGAGATAGGGTCTCATGTAGCTCAGGCCGACCCTTATGGGAACTTGACCTTGAACTTCTGATCTCCTGCCAGCATCTCTCAAGTGCAGGGATTATAGACAGGTGCCACTGCAGTGCTGGGGATTCCACCGGGGGGCGGGGTCCTCATTGCTAGGTAAACACCCCACCAACCGAATCACAGCCCAGCCCGCAGAAGACTTCTTGACAGGAAGTGTATTAAGTCTGAAGCCCAGAAGGAGATTATGTGTGGGCTCTAAAATGCCTTGTAGGACTTAGGAAATACCTGTGTATGAATTCACTCAGGTTTAAAAAGATCGTCACAAAAGAAGACAGAAACTGCCAGGTGGTGGCACACACCTTTGATCCTAGCACTCAGGAGGCAGAGGAAGGTGGATCTCTGTGAGTTCAAAGCCAGCCTGGTCTACGGAGGAGTTCCAGGTCAGCCAGAGTTGTCGAAAAGTCAAAAAAAAAAAAAAAAAAAAAAAAAAGACAGAACCTAAACAAGAACATTGAAGGTGAGTTAGTATATGTATAATGTGGTATATATCACTTTGGAATTTTAAAAATGAATTGATATTTGTTTCTTTTGCTTTAGGGTCTCACGTGGTGGAGACTGGCCTTGAACTCCAATCTCCCCAATATGTGTGCCATCACACTCGATTTCTTTTATGAATTATTTTTAAAATGTGTTTTGCAGGGAGGGTCCAGGCCCTGTCCTGGATGTAATGACAGACTATGGACACCCCCATGGAGGGCCTCACACTCCCTGGGGAAATGAGGGGATATTGGGGGGGAGTTGGTGGGAGGGTGTGGGAGGAGCAGAGGGAAACTGAGAGGGACCTGGAATTGACATGTGAAGCAACCTTCTTTCTAATTTAAATTTAAATTTAAAAATAAAAAATATCTTTTAAAAATGTGTTTTGCACTGATGTAGTTATTGAGAAAGAGGGTGTGTGTGTGTGTGTGCGTGTGTGTGCAGGCATATGCACCACGGGGCCAGTGTTGGGGTCAGGAGACAACATGCTAATGTTGCCTCATAGGAAATGCAGGCATATGCACCACAGGGCCAGTGTTGGGGTCAGGAGACAACTTGCTAATGTTGCCTCATAGGAAATGGGCTCAGATCATCAGGTTTAGGGGTAAGTTCCCTTAGTGGCCAGGCCATCTTGCCATCCCAAATTTTGTAATCGGAGACCAGAAAAGGCAGCAGGCAGGTGTAAGGTAGTGAATGAACACATTGTAAGAAATGAGTTTTACAGAATTTTAACAGCATGCTTAGGACGACAGATGTGAAATTATACAGTAGTGCCTTCGATAATACATATTTTGGGGCACAACCTGACATGTGTATCTTAAGATTCACGTTTTGCAATGTCTAAAACAGGCCAGGTACAGCTTGGGCCTTTTATGTATAATTTAAGAATGGAAACCATAACAACAATATGTGGGTAGGACGAATTGTTCTTCTGAATGGAGGAATTAGGTCATCGTCAGGCAGTTTTATCTGATGGGAATCCCTCCCTGTAGGTACTCAGGCTCGCCTCGCTTTAGCTGGGCGGCTGAGGCTCAGCGGGATGGCAGTGGAAGGATGCCATGGCTAGCAGGGAGTTATTTTCAGCGGCGATGCTGGTGCACCATTCCTCCAGTGACAGCAAGACCGGCCACAGCCTGTCTTAGCTTGTTGCACTGTGGCTCCAGCTGCGGGAATGGGAGGCTAACAAGCTTCCCTGAGACCACCGACAAAACCCAGGAGCCCAGTTTCTCAATGAGGAGAGTAATTGCATCAAGGAGACACGGCGTGATTTTTGCCTCTCCACGGGGTCGGGCGTGTGTTCCGACAGCTCCCTAGGGCATCAGGCTAGACCCGAGATGCTGAGAATGACCTTGGCGCCTCTCAGCAAGGCCACCTGAAACGGAAAAGAGAGGGTTTTCAGAAGAATGCTTGGACTTTCTTTAGAGAGAGGGGAGCCTTGTCACGACCACCTCGACCAGCAAGGAAGACGCGACTCAGGAATCCTTCTCACAGGCAGTTTATTCAGGACCTTGAACAAATCTTCTGACCCCAGGGAGTGCCCGCCCACAGCGTAAAAAGGCCCTTGGGCGGCCAACCCCGGTAAGCCATGTGGCGACAGCAGATAGGTCCACATACGAGGAAGCAAGCCAGATATCCAGCCTTGACCAAATAAGGAGTTGTTTATCACAGAGAGCACTTGCTATCGGGCTAGCAGAGGCGGAAGCCAGCACCATCTTAAGGGTGTGGCATTTCGCAGCTCTCTACAGAGCCTGTGGAACAGGCTGGGTTAACCAAGGACAGCCCCCTGGACGGGTAATAAAAAGGCTCTCCAGCTGCGTGCAAACAGGTTTGCAGAGCAGAATCAATTCTTTAATGCAGGAGCGGGGTTCATTGCAGTGGGTTAGCTGGGGCTGCCCCCCAGGGGAGCCCACTATATCCAATCCTTATGGCCTCGTGGCGGCCTGGGATCCGTCCCACTTGTCCAGCTCCACGGCCAAGTTCCTTCCAACACTGAGGCTAGGACCTCCGGTGTTTTAGAGGAAGGAAGGGCAAACAGCTGAAGCCTCCTTGGATCCCGCTCACCCGGGAAAGATGCTCTGGATTTTGAGAAAACAATCCAAGATGTTAATTAGCTGCTGGAGTCCACAGACACTCCTGAATAGGAACCGGAGCCTGGATGTAAAGTCTGGAAGGCTGGGACTTCGTTATTTGTTTAGTGTTTTGTAAAGCACAGCCCTGTCACCTTTTAATGGAAAAGTTCCTTTAAAAAGCAGGGGTGGCTCCTGCCTGCACTTGGGAGGTAGAGGCAGGCAGATCTCTGAGTCCGAGATCAGCTTGGTCTACAGACTTGAGTTCCAGGACAGTGAGGGGTACACAGAGAGCCCTGTCTCAAAAAGCAAACACAAACAAACAAAAAAAGTGGGAGGAAAAAATGACCAGAGGAGAAAGGAATCCCCACCCAATCCCATGAACTCACTATGCTAGACCAGGCTGGCCATGAACTCATAGAAATCTCCCCACCCCCCGCCGAGAATAAAAGTGTGTACCTTAAAGAAAATGCTATTTTTAAAAGGAATAAGGGGAGTCTGGGTGGGGGAGGGACATTTAGACTACAGAGGCCAGAATCACGTCCAGGAGCCATCATTGATCGACCTTAGGTGGGTCTGGTTCTGGCTTCTGGTTTCCTTGTATTAACTAAGTATTCCCCCCACCTGGCGTTACGTGACTGCATAAGGACTCTGCCTCCCACCTGTTCCCCCTTCCAATTCTGTTCCCGGTTGGCCAACACCTACTCCTCCCTCTGCTCCCTTTCCCCAAGAAAGTCCACGTGGGTTTGGTTGGGTTTTGTGGTTGTGTTTCATCTCCCACAGCTTCGACAAACAACAGTCACCATAACCATAGTGGAAAGAGAACCAACTCCCGAAGAGTCGTCCTCTGACCTCGACATCCTGCTGTACCATACATGGCCCTGCACGCCTGTGTGCAAATAAATGAACACATGAAAAAGGAAGTTGTCCTCTGACCTCCACATGCCTGCTGTGGCACATGTGTACACACACTCATGAGCACACATTATACACATAAACACATGAATAATAAAAACATTTTTTAAAAATAAAGCAAATGACAAATCTACGGGAAAGGCTTAGTCTTTGAAACCTGTGAAGGCCCCTGAGAGTCCCTGCCAAACCTCTTCCTCGGGCCCTGTTTCCAGACTGTCTCATCCAATTTTAGATAAAGCTCCCCACCCTTGCTATCAGATCACCCTGTCTGCCTTCGGGAAGATGCCTACCCTGGCTCTTTAGCAAGAATCCTGGAGGCAGATGGGGACAGAAACAGACCCACAGCAGACATTCTCAGAGAGTGAGAGACCTCGGGACACTCAGCCTATGGAAGAGGAGGCAGGAAGTGTGTGTCCCTGGTGTATGTACTGTGGCTTCCAGTTTAGCGTTCTATGGGATCCCTGAGTGTGTGAACGAGTGGGTCTCTTTCTTGTGATTTTCCTTGGGCTCTTTTCCTCCTGTGTGTTTGTTTTGTCCAATTCCAATGTGTTAGCTTTGTTTTTATCTTAGTAATTTTATTTGTTTATTTACTTATTGGTTTGATTTGTTTTGTTTTTGAGACAGGGTTTCTCTGTGTGTAGCTCTGGCTGTCCTGGAACTCTCTCTGTAGACCAGGCTGGCCTCAAACTCACAGAGATCCACCTGCCTCTGCCTCCCGAGTGCTGGGATTAAAGGCGTGGACCACAAGCACCACCAGGCAGCCCGTTTTTGTTTTCTAATAAGAGACAGAAAGGGGGCAGATCCAGGTGAGAGAGCAGGTGTGTAGAAACTGGGAGAAGGGGAACCATAATCAGAATATAGTTTGTGAGGAAAAAAATAGTTTTTCTTCTGAGACATAGTTTCTCTGTGTAGCCCTGGCTGTCCTGTAACTCATTCTGTAGACCAGGCTAGCCTCAAACTCAAGAGATCCACCTGCCCCTGCCTCCCAAGTGCTGGGATCAGAGGTATGTGTTGGTATCCTGGCATTATGCTGACCCGCACTTGCCTAGCATTCAGGAGGCCCTGAAAAGGGGGGGGGGGGAAGGAAGGGTCTTGGTTAGAGTTAGAGTTTCTATTGCTGTGATAAAACACCACGACCATAAGCAACTTGAGGAGGTTAGGCTTCTTTTCAGCTTACAACTCTCAGGTCACACTTAACGAACTCAGGGTAGGAACTCAAGCAGGGCAGGAACCTGGAGGCAGGAGCTGATGCAGGGGATGGAGGGGCACTGCTTACTGGCTTGTTCCCCATGGTTTGTTCAGCTGCTTTCTTAGAGAACCTAGGACCACCTGCCCAGGGCCTACAGGGAGGTGGGATCTCCCACGTCACTCAGAACACGCCACAGGCCTGCTACCAAACCAATCTAATATAACATTGCTCAATCAAGCCCAAGTTTGGTCACTGTGGAGATCCCGGCATTGTGCTGACCCCGCGCCCTGACAACTGGCATTCAGGCAGATACTTAGCGCACAGGGACCTGTGTTGCATTCCCGTGTCATGGCTACGTCACAGATCTTTAATTTTTACTCAAGTCCTGAAGAAGGTATAAAATGCCCCCCTCACCTCCAGTCCTGGGGATTGAACCCAGGGCCCTGCACATGCTAGGCAAGTTCTCTACACTGAGCTGCTGCCTCCGTGACCCTGTTTATAGGTGAAAACAAAGAGATTAGAAATAGTGTGGCTTCCTCAGAGTCACGCTGTTAGTAAGTGCAAGCTGTACACTGTCCACCTGTGAGGAATTTAGCAATTTACCTATTCTTACTCTAAGAAATCATCACTTTTACTTGTTATTTATGTGGATGTGTGTGTGTGTGTGAGAGAGAGAGAGAGAGAGAGAGAGACAGAGAGAGACAGAGAGAGAGACAGAGAGAGAGAC